TCATTTGGCAGACAGTAAGGAGAATTACTAATGAGATCATGGGAGTTAAAGGGTTGATGTCAGTATCTAACTGTGCACCTACCCCTCCCCTAACCTAACAACAACCCTAAGTTGTTAACAAATAACTGTTGATGGGTTGGGGAGGGAGGGATGGCTGCGTACTTACTTGGCCACGGACATTAATCCGAAATTACTAAGACAGGCGTCCACTTATTTTAAATCCAGGCTCGCAGATCACGTTTCCTCTTTCAATGTGGTTTTGCTCAGAAAAATAACCTCCAAGTCCCTTTTTTTTTTCACCAATATCTCCCTACTTCACAGCTCCTTTCGTAAATTTGAAGTGAACCATAAAAACGAACAATTAGAAAAGCGTGCATCTAAGATTTTCATGCACGTTCTAGAATCAATTTATTTTACATTCATGTGCAAACAAGTATTATTGGATCAGATAAACAAAAAAACGATTTTTTAAACTTCATAGTCCGAAATGACAAAACAATGACAAAAACAATATATTTCCACTGGGAAAACAGATTTGTTTTACAATAGTATGGAGCTGTGCGGAAATTTTACCTAATATATATATATATATCTCGAGATAGACTTATTTTCTATTGACATCACCTTATCTGTCGTCTTAATAGACTGACGAGTGATTTCCTAAGACGCGAGCAAGAGTAACCTCGCGGCTAAAATATGATGATTCTGTCTTGCAGTCGTTTAAAAAATTAATTAGCAGTCTGTATTAGGTTCCCTAAGCAAGAACAATGCCGTCTTATTGCCCAAAATAGATGTATTAGTTGATTATCAGATTACCACCGAACAGTATATACGAGTTTTGAGTTTAATAAAAGCTCTAGATCTAGCGTTGGCAGCAGATTTCCACACAAGCATTTGAATTCAATATACATTCATTGCTAAAATATAATGTGTGATTTCGATTCATAGCCTAAAGTGTTTGCAATTTGTACATGAAAACGCGCCCGGTTGGATAATTGTAGTCGGTGGGTCGCGTTGGTACAACTAAGCCATAATCCCTTCAAATAAAAAACTATCGAATCTGCACACACTGAAAGTGAATCACAGAATAAAAATTCCCGCAAAGATACATTATTTATAGTCTTATGTATCATTCAGACATTGTAGCTGGATTTTTAACAGCGACAGGGTGCTCTGAAAGTCCACGAGGATAAGTTGCATTAAAAAGTTTGAGGATGAGAATTCAAGATGCAAAGTATTGTTAGAAAACCCTAGGCCCTAAAATTTTTAGTTTACTGCATGACCAGCTACTGGGCTCAAATAATTTACCGCAGACCATACACTTTAAAGGACTGAACTAAGCCATAACAAATTAAATATTTCGTACATCAGTAAATGTAAATTTCTCAGAATTGACTCGCGTTTTCGTCAGCGCCGTCTAGTGCCAACGTTTAGAACTTCACAAAGGCCTCACTAGTGTTATTTTGAATTCTATAGCTTAGATAATTCTTCAAAGACCATAAGAGTACGTACTCCTTACCTGGAATATATCGGAGCCTTGCAAAGCTGTTGTGCACAAGATGAGCGCTGCTTTAATGAGCATAATAAGTTTTAGGCGTGGCTAACCTCTCCAAGGACTGCGCCCTGTTCTTAAGTAAGCCAGTGGTCAGACAAGCAGACGAGGCTGAGTAGTCAGAGACACCACAGACTTCTCTCGTAAAAGTTTTCGCTTCGCACATATTTTGGACCTAACCATGCGCTGCCTTCAAAAGAATCTTCCCGTCAATTTATTCAGTAGCATTATTCGAACTGGAAGACAAAAGAGTTTTTGCGCGGATCGGGAGCTCCTGGAATAAATTGCAGTACAGCTGTTTGTGCCGACTTTCCTAAATCTCACCTCTACTAATCATTGTCTAGGCGTCAATTTGAACAAATCGTGTTCCCTGAGGATGCAT